TGAAAATGCTAAAGAAAAATCGGTGCCCTATCAAGTTTCACTTCGAAATGCTGAAAACAAACATTTCTGTGGAGGAGCAATTATTGACGATTATTGGGTTTTGACTGCTGCTCATTGCATGGAGTGAATTTGTAATATATCTTGTACCATAAATAGAAAAATAGAAAAAAATATGTGTAGTAGTTAGAGGAAACAAATATCCTAAAATATGTAATTTCGTATTTTTATAAATCATGACTATTTTGCCCATAAATTTTCATTTCAAGTCTGATTGCATTTCAATTTTCAGACAACGTTTTGAAGTCGTTGCCGGCGTGAATAAACTGGATGAAGTAGGTGAACGATATAGAATAGAAAAAACTATTACTGACAAGTTTGATGGGAACGATTGGGAAAAGATTCACCGCCACCTAATGATTTACAGGTAGATAATATGAATTTTCAGAGTTACCATTCTGTCTTGTAATGTTTCACTTTCTAATAATTTATATTTTAGGAATTAAATACATTTACCATCCCCCAAAGTGTTTGCAGAAGAATGTTTAATGAGGATAAGATTCCAATCCACGATAGCCAAATATGCACTTTTGCAGATATGGGCAAGGGTGCATGTAAGGTAAGTCTTACAAAAAATATACAGTAAAAGTTTTCTCATATTTTTCGGTTATATTCTTATTAAAATTATTAATTATATATTATTTAAAAAAATAGTTATTAATTGAATATTTTTCCAAAAGGGTGATTCCGGTGCCCCTTTAGTCATCAATGGACAACTTCACGGAATCGTTTCCTGGGGCATTCCTTGCGCTGTCGGCAAGCCTGATGTATTCACAAGAGTTTCTCACTATGTCGATTGGATTAAATCTAAAATTGCCAAATAAAATAGCTCAGTGCATTAAATTATTTGCTTTAAATATGAGTTTTATTCATGGTCTAAAAAAGGATGCAAATGGATACAATGAAATTCTTGTTAATATAATCTTGATATCTTTCACTATGTGGCAGTCGTTTTTCAATGAACTAATGGTGGAAATCTTAAAAATAATGTAAAACAGGTATATTTTCGCATAAATTATTATTAAACAAAATTGTGCCAGCAAAATTCAAATTCGAATCAAACATTTGAGTGCAATAAGTGTTTATTATTTCGATCGTGGATTGGATTTGCTGTTTCAGGTTTATTCCATGTTTGTTTTTAACTTACAGTTTTAGTCTATTAACTATTAGAATATATTATATGATTAGTTTTATAAGAAAGTTTATGAAATAATTGTTAAAAAAATGTTTTATATAATTGCAATGATTGAATAAAATCATGAATTCTGTAATAAGATATATATTATGTAAAATAAATTTAATGAGACACATTTATAGTGTTTTATATAGAAAAACAATCACATTATTACAACTACATTTTAGTTATACGTAGATATCAAAATGGCTAATACACATGCTTAATATATCACACATAATGCTATATTTTTGGCAGATATATAAGAATTGGTTAATGCACATATAAATAACAAAAATCAGATAATAAGAGAGATTAAGAAAAAGAAAAAGGTTGACAACTGATTACTGAAAGTAATGAAATCGTACTTTGAGATATATTTATATGAAAAGATTCTATTAGATTACAGTATGCTATATTAGGGATGTGATTTCAATATAAGTTGAACAAAATATAAATATGAATGCTACTTTCCTCAAATTATCTGATTTATGTTTAATCCTTTTGAGATTGTTTTTTTCATATCCTCATTTCTATCATCAATATTTTCATCATAAATTAGGAAAGTGAACTTTCCTAAAAATTGAAAATGTGATCAACAAAGAGTTCAATAGTTGCAAATGAATATCTGCAGAAATGTGTACAAAACGTGTCACCTGCTTCTTTACACTCTTTGATAAATAACAATCGCCTATGAGTAAACTATGTATCTCAAAAGGATTACATATTATATAAATGTAATCTATTATATGATTGGAAATGCTTAGGCTGTGCCACTCATTTGTGTTTTAATAGTTTCAATTATCCTCGGTAAGCTATCAGCTCGCAAAATCATAATTTTTCTGTATGGTGTCATTTCACTGTCTCCTTCTTTCCAATCGCCTCCTAAACCAGAATCGGCTTCTGATTTTACTGAAAACTCAAAACTAGCTAAGGCTTCAGGAAGAATGTATTCCTCCTCAGGATTTGACCAAATCACATCAGGTTCAGATTTCTTTGACTTTTTCTTTTTAGTTTGCTCATTTTTGTATAATTTACATATCAAAATGTAATATACAAATTTATATGGCATTTTCTTTGACACTGCCCTGTTGATTTCGCTTTGCAGATTCTCTAAGAGTGGCACTGAAATCTGTGCAGGAATGTTTATGAAACGCTCGTTTATCAGAAGTCCGGTGCAATTTTCTTCATCGTTAAGGATGTCTTGAATTAGTTTGTTAGTTGTATCCGTTGCATTTTGTTCTGCAAGCTCAACAAGAAGTTTGCGTAATTGTTGAACACATTCTAAATTCTGTAAAATATTCATGATTGAAAGATCCAATACTTACATGAGAATGACTAATGATTCATGATAATTTTAATTTCTTGATTTTTGATACACTGATTATGAATAAATAAATATAATTACTTTTGTTAAATATTGCAATTATATAAGGTTCATGCAGAAACACATTTCACTTCATTGTCGCACATGTTCTTTTAAATGATACAAATAAAAAAAGTTTATCTTTGCACTCAATTTATGAATTAGATATAAAAAATTGAATTTGGTGTGCCATTTGGTAATAAAATAGGTATTTAGGTATGTATATAAAGTTAATGTAAGAATAATTGAAGAGAGAAGTAATAAGTGAATTCATGGTACTTTTACATATAATAATACTAGGAAATGACTTTCCTGTAATAATATTTAGAGAATGATGAAATAGTTAATATAATTAATTTATGAATAAAACATGCAATGAAATTTTGTCATCAATCCAAAGCATATGATAATAAGCAAATAAACATATATAAGCAATCTGAATTACAGTAACTAAAATGATTGAATCATAATTATGCAGTCACTTACCTTTTTCTGGGTAATATTAATTACACTCGTTATACCAAAAACATCATTTATATCAGTCATTTCATCATCTTCATCTTCATCAGGGTCTGCGTCACTTTGTTTAACAACACTACCAATGTAATTTTGACCTGGAATAAGAAAACAAACAAATCAAATATTTCAAATAATAAAACTAAATAAACAAACTTGCTAAGACCACAATGTTATGATAATAACATTCCTGGGCCATATTGAAACATTTTCATCTCACAATCTTATCTTATAATAATATTTACATATTTCATGTAATTTACAAGATATTACAAGCTATAACTTACCAATTAACAGATCTGATAATTCAGATAGATTAATATGAGCTTTCAAAAATAATTGATTCAGAAGCTGCTTTATTCCATGAAAATCACTATCGGTAGGATTTCGGCCCTCAAAGTCTACTTGAATTTCCTGCATGATTAAAAGATGAACTAATAAAGTGATAATTCATAACAAAAGTCTTAAGATTAAAAAGCTGCATTCTAATTCTATTCAAATGAAAATAATTTAAACTTTTCATTTTGTCACAGTTATATTATTGAGATTATGCTGTTAATCCAAAAATGTTGAATTTCACAACCCTATGCAACATTGATTGGCACATGACATCCAAAACGCCGGTTCATTAAATAAAATGAAATAACATTTCAAAGTCCAAAATTACTAATTTGAATTTATCTATAACTCATATTGATTTTAAGCAATTAAAGGCAGTAACATATAATGAAACATAGATAACATATGAATATTTTAAAATATAGGTTATCAGTCAAGATACCTCATGCCCAGAATAAACCTCTTGATCAGAGCCTTCATCTGAGCTATCGGATTCATCACTCATATTATTAGGATCATTCATTAGCGCTGGTTTTTTATGCGACATTGTTAATTAGTTTATTAATATTTAATTAAATATCACAAAGATTGCACACGTGCCTACGATTGTTTATATTAAAATTAAATACTAATGTAGTATTGCCAGAGTAGACAAAGTCAGCGAGCTATTTAGAAAACTGTCACTTCTTATGACAATGGTGCCAACATCAGTGAAATACACTACATAAATATGAAATTGAAATTTGAATTTTGATTTGCTCTTAAACATAATTTAGTAGTAACAACTAAAATGTGTTTTTACATATCACTTGCATTTTTATATATCAGACATTTTAATATCTACATATAACTAAAATGTAGTTGTAACAATGTGATTGTTTTTCTATATAAAACACTATAAATGTATCTCATTAAGTTTATTTTACATAATATATATCTTATTACATAATTCATGATTTTATTCAATCATTGCATTTACATAAAACATTATATTTAACAATTATTTCATAAACTTTCTTATAAACCTAATCATATAATATTCTAATACTTAATAGACTTTTTAAACTATCAAAAATCGTAATTTACATGTGATAATATGCAATTGATGAATATATTTTTGAAAAATATTTATACTTAAACAATACATATAATTAAATAATATGTATTATTATGTGACTGGCGTTATAAAATATCTTATCAAAATCTAATCTAAATCAATCTTAAACTAAATTGTTATTTATATACAAACTTGAAACTTCAAGGCCTCAAAAACGTTCATTTTGCACTATTTACTAAAATTTTTAGAAGAAAATGCTCGTAATTCATAGTTTCAGGGAATTATTGAATATTTCTATTTTATGATTATTATTCATATATAAGTATATTTTTTGAAAACTCATATCCAATTTTTTAACATTAGCACCATTTTGTTCATATTATGCAACTAATATTGAAAACTTATTCATTACTTTTGAGTGCAGTAAGATTTCATATGCATAATAGATTTTTAATATGCAAAACACTCGAGTTAATTTATTGTGTGTAATTAGAAAATTAGTTGCATTGTTTTATCACCAACAAATGGCTATACATAATTTATAATTAAGCAGATAATTACAGATTTATTCTGTTCCGTAGAATTAGGGATATAATATATTCTAAAAATATTTGTTCATTAATTAGCGCATTCCTGTATTCATACTTGACCTCTTCCCCCTGGTCCTCCTCAATGTTCCCAAAATGTTTAACATTTCTTTAACGGCAGCAGGTTCTTCTTTTTTGGTTTTTGTCTTATTTTGCACATCGGTTGATTTCAGTCTAAATCTACCGCCTTTTATTTGATCCACGATGGCATCTATAATTCCTGGATAAAAAAATACAATGATTACCTAAGATTTAGACAAAAATGTGTACAATTTTATTTTCGAAGAGCAACTTAAAAATGTAAGAATTTTTAGGGTTTGTTGATTAGTTCGATATCAAATATTTATTAGTATTCCATCACCGATTAAATAAATAATAAATATATGAAATTATTAAATATTTAGTTAATATATTTTAATTATTTACAGTGATACAAATTATTATTACCTTATAGCCCTTGCGCAAAACCGAAAAAGTTTAGTTTATTTTTGGAAAAATTTTTCCAGTAATAATTACTTTGATAATTGAGTGTAATGCTAATTGTAATTTTTCATATAAGTTGTAACAAATAGAAAGCATTTTTGTACCTTCACTGTATCAATTTTTTTTTAATAGTGTTTGTGCTTATTGGACACCATCAAATTTATAGTTCAGCCCAAAAACTTTTCTTTGCTACAATTTTTTAATTTGTGGCTACGTGCTATCATTAATTTCGCATTTCAAATTATTAAAATTTTAATAAAATATTTATAATATATAGGTATTTTATCGGAAATGCACTTTTTAACTATTCTCAAGTAAAAGATTATTAAATTTTTAAGTACCTATACTGGATATAGCTATTATTGTTGTACCTTCTTTGATATTACAAGACTCCTTTGATAGAAAAAATTGAACATATATTTTTTGGGACAGCTGCTTAATATATAAATTGCATGCATTGTAATAAACTTTATATAATATAATAATTTCAAAAGGGCCTAATATCATTTTATTTGCTAAATCAATTTTACAAAGCCGCTAGCAATAATGATAGCACAGCAATATAAACATGCTTTATGTACGTGGTATAAAATAAGTTTTGCATGCTTATATTTACCTTTTTTATTTAATCGTTGTAGGTCTTATTTTGCATAAAATATTTTTATCATAACAAAATTTACAAGGAATTAAAGTATGTGAGTAAAATTTGATCATTCGTCGGTCGAGTCGTTTCTTTACAAATAGAAAATATTCTGAACCGATTTAGACTGAATCTGGTACCCTGCCAGATTAATTTTATTCGAAAGCATGTTTTTTTTTTCTTAAATTGAATAACCCCAAGAAAAAATGTTTGTATATATTATTTTCGTATATACCTCCATTATCATTTTTTGTTTTTGCCGGAGTATCGTTTACTGGTTTGATATCCAGCATGGCAGCCATTTCCGCAACAGCGCTTGCCTGCGTCTTGATTTTGATTTCCGTTTTATTGGCGCCAAGATTCAAATTCGGCACCGGCGGCGGCGGAGGCGGAGGAGGCATAACTATTTGATTTCCGTTTGTCATTTTCCTCCTCATAACAACTCCCTCTTCGCCATTTCCGAAAACATCATTATCCGTCTGCATACTTCCGTTGTTTTCGGAAAGAGTGTTTTGTAATTCGCTTTCAGCACGTTCGGCACGTTCTATGGCGACGTTTAGTTCGTGTTCGGTTATTTTTAGTTTGGCTTCTAACACTTCGATTTGGGGGTCTATACTTTTGTCCTCCAATTTTTCCTGAAATTCGGGCGGTTACATATCGTATGAGATGCGCCAAGATGTTATTGGAAGCTTCCCACAAAATGATGCGATGGGGATTTGGTTCGGAGAGAAAATTTTATATGTATTTGGAGGCAATATTTTACGCAAAGTTTAAAAAATCGTATCATAATAAATTATTTTCTTATATTTCTGAAAAATTTACTGGGAAACCATTGAATCATTAATGATTTTTTCTTCGCATTCATGCACGCTTTATCAGCTTAAAATAATGTATGTATCGACATTTGAACTTCTATTAATGGGGCAATTCTGGTGTAATAGAGCTCCTAAAATAGCGTTGTCATGGCAACACTATTTATTCTTCTTTCTTGTTAGTGAAAATGTTTTACAACTTACTGTGCTTCTTTCACTAAGCACGACAATTAAATATTGTAATTAAAAAGTGAGTTCATTTTTCCAAACATTTTCATTTAATGTATATGGGTAATGCAATAATATATTTGATGTATCTTAAAAATAAGGTTTAACGAATTAAAAATGTGAAAGGAAGGAGATTTTATAGCAAATCTAAAAACAAGATATTTTGTAAAAATTAAATACGACATTAATGATTAGAAAACAGTGCATATAATGCAATCATATTTTCGCCAACAGAAATTGCCTCAAAAAAAAAAAAAGGAAAAGGAAAAGTGGATTAGATACGTTTGATTTTAAATCTGATAACGAAAAGGATATTTTGAAAAAAATAAAATATGAGGTACATTTCTAGACATCAGAGCATAAAATGCTATAGTATTTTTAATGAATTTATATTAATTGCTGCATTTTTACAAATAAATCATATCCTCAAAAGATTGCATTATACATTAAATATTATGCGATGCATGTAGCAATACTTAAAAAATAATTTGATCATGAGCACTTATCTGACGATTGAAACATATATGTGAAATTAATTCGTTGTTCTGTTTTTGAGCATTTTTATCGTTGCATTATCCATATGTTTTTCTCGTTATGTGAATCCAAAATTTTACATTCCGTTGCATTATTTATTCAAACATAATGGTATAATAATACGATTCGATTTCAATATTGGTATATACAAATAATAATTATATAAGATATAGTAATATTTATACAACAGATTTGAATTACAGAAACCAAATCCCCCATTCATATCATTTTGTGAGTGCATACAAATTATAGCTAAAAGCAAATAGCCTGAAATTACTAAATATACAAATAATAATAATCATGCAATATAGATCAATAATTATATATAGGCCATGCTTAGTAATACATTGCATTTATAATGCTTTTGTACAATACCTACACCTTTGTACAAATTTTTATTTAAATATTAGTTAAATAAATTTTAGTAAAGAGATGCTCACCAGCAAATCTGCTACTTGACTTTGATGGTCATTTCGTTCCATTTCGAGCATTGTTTTGAGCTCACCAACCTGGGTAAAAATATAATAGTCATAAAATAATATCAATTATAAGATATAATCATATCAATCATGATTAAATCAAATTAAGGAAAATGACACTATTTCTGATGTACTCTGTGAGCATAATTATGGCCTACTTTTTAATAGTTTTCATCGCCATTCAAAAATGAATGTCTGAATCTGTATATTTTGTAAAAATAGATAGTAATTGGTTTCAAGGAATCGTGAACTAAAATCTCTAACTATGTTAATTATTTGAGTTATCTGTCTATCTCGAATACCAGATTATTTGGACTACGAGTACACAGTTGCTCGATAATCATAAAAATAATTTTTCAAATATAATTATGTTTGTACCTCCTGCAATAATTTAAGTATCCTGCCTTCTTCTCCATCATGTTTATAATCTTGTATGAGCAAAGCACTTTGTCTTGCTAAAACATCTCTTTCCCTGATTGCTTTTTTGGCTTCGTCTATCATAGTTTCAGCTTGCTCACGTTCTCTGAATATAAAATTAGAAAATAAATATAATTTATGTAAATAACAAGTTCAGGAATTTCAAGGAAATATTTGAAACTTATTCTTTTATGTCTCCAATTTTTTTGGAATTTTCTTCATGTCGACAATAGGGTAGAGCGGGGCTAGTTGAGCATAGGGGCAAGTTGAGCAATCGAAATATCTCGAAAACTATTCACCGTCCGTTTAGGCATCATATGGCGGAAATATAGAGATTTGGGAGAAATAAATATCCCGCGATCGCTAGTGGCCGCTGGACAAATGAGTGAGGCTCACGGGCGTTTTGTTTATTTTGAGACCAAAAAGTAAAAACGTAATTCATCACGAGTTTTCGTCTGGTTTAGTCAAATGTTATTTATTTTTAATCAGGTAAATGTTATTCTTCAATATAATTATAGTACTTTTAATATGCACAGAGATTCTGGCTATAATTCTCACGGTTTTTTTATAAACTCACTTTTATTTCGAAATTCCGAGTTGGGGTTAGTTGAGCATAGTTGCTAAACTTGTTCTGTCACTAAGACAACTATTATTAACTTCCAGAAATTGATTATTATTTTTAAGATTTAAGCTAAGTCTATGAGTAATAATATAAAGAAATAATGATTTTAAACAAAAATAATGAATATAATGGTAAAATAATTCCTAAGATACGATATTGTTCAGTTGATTCTACTTTTCGTTAATTATTCAAAGCAAATTACTATAAGTATTGTTTTTTATGTCAATAAAGACTATAAATATTGAACTGGTTATTAAAAACTTATTTTATTTCATCACTAAACGACATTGAACCTATGATTTTATTATACTTTCTTAGTGCTTTTTGCATTCAAACAGCTGTAGCTTTTAAATTTTATTTATTACCAAAAAATAGTATTAACACTTTTGTTAAGCGATAAACAACAAATCCATTAAGCCGTATAACAATTTTTTGAGACTTTTCATTGAGATGCTACATCCGTTTAAGTGAAAATTTGCTCAACTAGCCCCGCCCTACTCTACTGACTTGGAGTGTTAGTATGCATAACTTTAGTGAAATGTTGAAATAAATATTGTGATTTTTAGTATGTTGAAAATGATTCATAAACTTACTTTTCGGCATTTTTACGCAAAACGCTTACTTCATCTGCGACTAATTTTGAAACTTTTGCAAAATGATCTCTGGATTGCCTTAAACTTTCCAATTCGATGTTACATTGAGCTCTTAATTTCTTTTCTTGTTCTAATTCCTGAAAAGATAATGTATTTAGATAAACAATTAATATAAATATATATAGGATGTCCCAGAATTCAACGTCAAGCCGAAACGGGGTGATATTAATTGTAATTAGAGAAACAATTATCTAACATGGTTTGAAAATTATAGGCTTTTAGGTGCAAATAAGAGCAATAGTGAAAATGTGACCACTTTTCGGTTATTATGGTTAATTCTAATTAATTTTGTTCATTTTTAAGCTTTGGATCCGTAATTGTAAATATTTCTAGAAACACAGCCCAAAATATTAACCCATGTTTTCAAGAATTAAGACTTTTTGTTAAACTGTGAATTCAAAATTTTCGAAATTGGTCGACTTTGTAAAGACCTTTTAAAGAGTGTTGGTCAAAATTCAATTAAGACAACCATGATGATTTGTGCACATATAAATAATTTCAATTGTCTTTTATTACCTGTGTTAAATTAACACACTGTTCAGTTGCTTCAAACTCCTGAAGTTTTGCATTATTTAGTTCAGTTTGTAAAGTTGCTATTTCTAAACTCATATCAGTCACTGTTTTCCTCAAAGCTTCCAAATCGTCATGACCATCTAAAGGAAATTGTGGAGTTAAATAAAATGTTATTGATAATATTAAGTTCCGTATTTTACCTGTTGTATCTGTAGAACCATCTATGTCTATATCTAGGGATCCATTTGGTTTGATTTGGAGATATTTCTGGACTAGGACTGCACTTTGTCTTTTCAACTGACGATTCTGTTATACCATTCTCCTGCATGTTGCATAGCTCTGAAAAGTTTAAATTTACATTAGACAGCTCAGAAAAATATAATCTTGTAGAACTTTATCTATCTTTGAAAATGAACATTACTACTGCTTGATATTAGGTTGTACATAGCGCGGAAATTCAACTAAAAAGCAAAGCTGAAGCTCTCGTAACTTCCGCCACGTACAAATAATTAAATTTATAATTTTTATTTCATATTTCTGCGGTATTCTTCCTTATCTAATTCTAAGATAAACACTAAAAAAAATCTGGTTACCATTTTCACACTTAAACATAATTACTAGAAATGTAAACAAACAATAATTACATGAAATGTAAACAAATGAGCTTCTGAAAAAAAATGTAGATATACATTTATTAAACATGAAATGTTTGGTCGACAGATAACTTTTGACCTCAAGTTCTCTGCACTTTAAAGGATGGTTCATGATTTAGAAATTTATTTTAAAAATTGTAAAAAAGGTTAAAAAAATAATTTTATTGACTATACGTTTCGATACTTGATGTGTGTCATCATTCAGCCACGTGATGAATGGATCTTTTTACCCCTGCTCTCTTTTTTAATTTAAGGCTTCAATTTTATTAGGTACATGTTGTTTTGCTTATTAAAGTTCAAAAAAATTTAAACAATTGCTGCTAATGTTTTAAGTTTTTGTTTTTGTCCTGGTTTGATTGGCTGAATGATGACACACATCAAGTGACGAAACGTTCAATCAGTAAAATATGTTTTTATTTTAATTTTTTTTATTAGACAAATAGGCCAAATTCAAATCAAGTCCTTTAATTATTAATTAAAGTCAATTAGTCCTTTGATTATTATTTCTATTATTTTATTTATTATTATTTTGAGATATATCGCAATGGTATTCATCCAAATAAATTTAGATTTTCTATTTTAAGATGGCCATTTGAATCACTTGTTGGTTTCTTGAGAATTATGGTGACTCAGTTTAATTTTGCAATTACCCACACTCAATATTGTATGTGGGTAATATGTGCGCAAATTAGATTCATAAATATGAGACATTCAATTTGGGAGGATGTGGAAAAAACTAGTGGTGTATGAAAGAAATTCCTGGAATTTTTCAAGATGGAATTGTTAGATGAATATTATGGCAACTCAACAAAATTTTTGAATAGGTAAATTTTTCGTGGGCAATTTACGTATCCAAAAACTTAGTTCTTAAAAAAATATCTCAAAGAAGATATTGCCATAATATTCATCTAGCAATTCCACCTTGGTAATTTCCAGAAATTTGCTTTATACACCACTATTTTATTCCACATCCTCCTAAATTAAATGTCTCATATTTATAAATCTAATTTGTCATATGAAAATATGGAAACATTGAAACATTTTTGGGTAAATTTTGATAGATATAGAAAAAAATTGAGAATGATAACTACTTTTGAGATATAAAATAGATGTTTATTTGGAGTACAAAATTTCAAAAAAAATTTTTTTTACTCAAATATGAGTAATTTTAACCACTGTTACGTTTTATATTTATTTTCCACAGATAGTAAATTTATCTGGGATGGAAACCATAGACAAAAGTCTAACTTAAGACCGAATTTACCCAAAATTCCTCCATTTCCTCGAAGAATATCACTTCTGGGATATAAACTACGCCTATTTTGTTATTATGAATTATAATTTCCAATAATTTCATCTTCTTATCTCAAAGACAGTATTATAAATTATTGCTCTCGACCAGAAATCATAACAGTCTACAAAATGAATTCAGTGTGTATATTAGTTTGCTCTGCTCTTTTGGTTGGAACAACTTTTGCAGAGGGTATGTAATAATAATAAATGATATGTTTTTAATGGGAATATTTAATGTACTACTATAATGCTTCGCAATAAGTCGGCAATCAATTAAATTTAACCGTGGTTAATGAATAAAAATCATTTCAGTAAAGTTCAATAAAGATTTACCGTCAAACTCAAGAACAATTTAACAAATCTTAATATTCTACAGTATTTTTATATTTATAACAAAATCTATTTTCGAGAAATATACATTCAGGAGCATAGCATTAAACATATTTATAATATTTGAGAACAATAATGCAATTAAAGTCATACTTCAAATTCGACATGATCGGTTTGTCATTGTAATTAGCATTTACGACTTGAACCTTCAATAGAGAAATAAAGTAATTTCTGATTAATAAATTCTATAATATTCGTTCACACAGTGAATTATGTTAAACAACGCCTAAACAAATATTGTTTTCACAATTTCACTCATCATGTAATAATTGTGTTTGAAGAACTTTATGTAATTAAAATTAACATACATTCATTGACTGCTTGTATTTTTTTATTTTTTTGCTGGCGATATAATCTCATTCTTTGAACAGCTGCAATATCTGTCTTGTCTAAAAAATATTTTCCATTTTAATAACTTCAAAGATTTATAGAAACTACGAATAATATAGAAATTATTTCAATAAACTTACGTTTAGTACACGGCACAAATGTTTCATATGTTTTATTATTTTCATTATAACTATTTACGAGGAACAGGGTAAAATGTTTTTCTGATTCAGGCATTTTTCATTAAATCAAGATTCATAGTACGATGTAACTTTAAATGTTTATTTATCTATGCCAATTTATTTGTTGATATCGGAACGCATACAACGTTGATGCCGGCACGCATACAACGACAGATCTCTATTCACATATACGACGAATAATCACAATCGAACCGTATAGAAATTCACCGAGAGCATTATTTTCGTTGCATGCTCACAGATTTACACCCTAGTTGCGCTTAAAAAAATTTTACTTAAAAAAAACATTATGATAAAATAGTTATTTAACGTTGTGCGTTTTGCAGGTTATGTTTTATGTGTAAAACATCTGATCGAACAGCAAATACATAGATTTTTGATGGTGTGTTACTACCAATTCATACGAAAATAGACCCGCAACATAGCATTACCATAACATTTATATTTTATCCGAAAATTAGCCCCTGAATTCGATAAATAAACTTTTTTTTCTTTGCTATTTTTCGGATGACGCAAATGCCCTTGGATAATTTTCTTTATTAATTTTATTATTTTTGACCATTTGATAGATAACTCTAAGGCTCTTGGATAACTGTCTTTATTAATTTTATCATATTTGCTGAAAAACAACAAAGTTCTTGGATAACTTTCTTTAATCATTATTTACTTTGGTATTTTTAATATTAGTACAAAATCTGTCCTTGGAGTGTTAATAACGCTGTTTAGGAAAATTCGCACAATTTTTCACAACTGCTGTTTCTGATCTGTTTCTTTATGTTCTATATTAAATTAGCAAGCAAAATTTTCGCAAACCCAAATTTTGATTTTCAACTTCGTTTTTCCACTGCCTTCCGACCTTTATCTTATTTCAAATTGTTTCTTCTCTTTCAGAAAAATGTAGCATAGTTTTCCCACAAAAGGAGCCGCTTTCCGACCTTTACTTTACAATGCCGACGAAACGGAATTACTTTTGGAAAATCACGAAGGTGCTTACAAAGTTCCTTCAGGAAATAGCGTGATTTTCACATGCAAACAACATGAAATCACAGACGAAACCATTCACAGTGTGATTGCCCATTGTAGAAATGGTCAGCTGGTGGATGAAAATGGACAAAGTGTAGAGGTAATAGATAATTGATTTTTTTAAAAAAATTTGAAAGTATTAATTTTAATGATTCTGTTCAGCCTTCGGAAATATCTTGCCAACTTCGTGTTTTGGAACTAAAGCCTGTTTTGTCCACGAAATGTAGCGGCAGTTTGGCTAAATATCAATTTCACAAACCAGGCTCTCAAGATTTGTCCACAGTGGCGGAAACTTGTTATGATATAGATCGCAATATACCTGTTTATTCTCATTATAAAGTGGCTTTACCACCACAATTCCTCGAAAATGAGGATTTGGATCCTGCGCCATATATGTCAGCAGTCGATATTTTATCAGTATATCGATCAGACGAGATCAATAAAGTAGTCACTAAACTTTTAGGAGAAGGTCATGTAAGACGTGAAAATGTTTTGTATACTGTATCCCTTATCCCCAAGGAGCATTTGCACGCACAATTCAAGGATGTCAGTAGACGAGCACATAATCTTATAACCCTTTGGGACAATGTTCTATATGGTAACTTCGAAAACTTGGTACAGGATATTAGGAAATTGAGAAAACATCAACGAACTTTGGAAGTATACTCTGGAGTTTCCCAAACACCTGCACAACTAACAAACAGTAAAGGAAAACTAACAGATTTATATCTAAAAACAAGAAGAACTCAGAGATCCTTCCCAATTCCTGAATATTACTGGGCAGTTGTCTACGAAAGGGAATCCCAAAAAGCTGTTGCCTTTATCATCAGAAACGATTTAGAAGGTTCCACAACCAATATGTGTAGAAATGTTTGCGAAGATCTAGCTTGGGCTGAGAATCTAAAACTTAATGATAACTACAAAAATGCAGAAATTGGACAAACCACTTGTTGCAATATTAAGGAGTTCCTAAATGTCGTGAAAAATGTTCCAGCACTTCGTGATATTGCTACAACCGTTGGTGATGATGGAATTTTGAAAGAATAATTGAAATTTATTAATGAATTCTATATATAAAAAGGCATGACCAATTGGAGATGGTTAACACTGTGGTTAAAATTAAGGTAATGGAACGAGATGAGGAATAACTTTAATAATTTAAATGTATTTGTAAGTTTTCAAATAAAGTATGTTTATTTGAATATTTTTATTTTATTTCATAAGATATTTCTATTATTTTGATCTTTGCCAAATATGAATTATTTATTAACTACCCGTAGAGTAAATTATAGTAATTGCAAAAAATCCGAAATGAAAATTTTCGTCGTATATTTACGTATCAAAGGTTTCTGAAAATTTTCGCAAATCTTAGAGAAAAATGATGTATATATGTATGTATGTGCGGATACAATTTTTTGTCGACGATTTCGAGAGCACGGATCATTGGATTTGAATTATTCAAAAAACATTCGACTTTTATTGATGGGGATACGTGCTGATTAGTAGTTGTAAATTAGTAACTTAGTTTTTGGTCAAGACAGGTCCAGACGTTTCGAAAAAACGGAGCAAATAGTGCAAAAAATGGTATTTTACTTTTTGAGAAAGAGGAGCGTCCGATTTGAATAATTCAAAAAACATTTTACTTGAATTGATGGAATAAAAAATTGATGAAATTTTTGAAAAACAGGTCCACGGTTTCTGAGATTTAAGAAAAAAGGTTAGGAAAAATACCATTTGGCGGTCAAAAATGATCAACATTCAGACAAAATTTGAATCAAAAATATGCCAAGCATGAATTTTTTAGTATGAATGCTAATGCCACAGAATTATTCCAAAAATGTCTTCCGATTTGTCTTAAAAATATTTTTGCTAGCATTTTGTCAAAATTTGAAAAAAATTCAGGAAGATTTGCCTTTAAGTTTCATTAATTTTCCCTAAGGTTAGAAAAAAATGCCATTTGGCGGTTAAAAATAATCAACATTCAGACAAAAATCTGGATAAAAAAATATACAAAGCATGAATTTTTTAGTATAAGAATGCTAATGGCATAAAATTATTTTAAAAAAGTCGTCTCATTTGTCTTAAAAATGATTTTGCTAGCATTTTGTCAAAATTTGAAAAAAATTTAGGAACATTTGTTGGTCAATCTCTAGTACTCGAGTTGACATTAGGATTTATTTATTTGTCCAAAATATTTGTGAATGTATAGAATAGATTTTTATTAGGCCGAATACTTAGGAAGCGTCATTAATCACGTGATCGATTTTTTAGAGATTTTTGGACCAGTGATATTCAAAATTACCCCCCTCACCCCCCAATCATTACGTGTATTCTTAGTTGCGTAAAATTGTTCGAACAAATTTTTCGAATTTACAAAAAAATCGTAATTTTTTGGATTTTTTTTTTAATTCAGATAGAAAATAAATACACGTGATATACTAGACCCCTTCCTCTCGCACGTGATTTTTTGTCTAATTCCCCCTACCCCTAAAAACCTCACATGATTAATAGACGCCCCCTTATGACTTATATATAATACTACCAATAATATTTTCCTATTTTCAAAGTTTGAGAAATTGTGTGGAATCGTTGATTATTCGTACTCAGAAATTTTAGATATTATAGACAAATAGAGATAGATATAAATATAGATTCTACATTATCCTTACTTATGCATTGCTCCGGTCTCAACATCATATTGATTCTTGAGTGTTTCGTATTCCTTGTAAACTTTTTCAGAAACAGTCCTTAAAGAGTTCAATTGGGCATCCTTATCCCTCAGCTCGTGTTTAGTTAATGTGAATTCGTCTGATAATTGCTGATGTTTCCTCTCCAGGTCTGCTAAGGATCTGGCAACTGGAATAAAAAAATATAATCATTATACTTATTTTAACCATATTTAAAATGGTATATCTAAATGGTATGTAAATAGATAAAAAATCCACAAGAAAATTTATAAAAGTTTACGAGTGATGCCTAGTCCTAGTGTGACAATAGAGGACTCTCTCTCACGTCCATGAAAAAGGACCTTTTTAGCTAAGAGGAAAGGTGTGTAACCTTTAGTGAACGAGTTTAATTATTTATTACGAGACAATTCAAAAGCTATTTTTCTACATCTGAGAAAAAGGCAGATGCTTTTTATTTCGTCAGGAAGTTCAGTTACGCTCGTTGAACTATTGCTTACGTGCTGGAACAACAAAAGGCATTTTTCTTATTAAGACACGGTCGTCTCTTCAAAAAAAAAATTGCTTCTAGTTTATAAAACAAAGACATATAAATCAAAATGTTTATGAATCATTAAATATCAACATTTTGCGTTAAGTGAGCAGGATATATAAGACAGATAATAAGTCATGTGATGGCCTTCGAAATACAAGTCAATTTTGTTATTAACATGGAGAAGGGACTTGGTGATTTTAATCCAATGTCAAACGAACAAAGTAGTTTTTGTTTATTTTTGGTATAAATGTTAAGTCTTAAAAATGTGCGTTTTATTACATATATGGAAAAAGATGCAATTTGCAACGAGATAAAGATGTGACTCATATGTTTACTGGATTGTCTCTTGAGATTTTTTTTATTTGACGTTGATACATTTTCAAATGCTGCTAATAGGTTCAAATGAAATGACAATAAATAATAAAACATATTTAGTTTGTACGTTTCGGCTCAAAGTACGTGTCATCATCTAGCCGTTCTAAAGTAATTGCTAAAAAATTACAAAAAAAAATTGAAAAAAATATATATCAGATTATAAATAATAAAGTTGTATATTATTTTCATGATCAATGCTAAAACTGGCTAAAACATCATTTTACATTTTAATTTGTCCAATCTTTTCGAATTTGTTCTATTAAAAATAGAAATTTGACATTGACTGACTGAATTGACTGAATGTTGATTGTTGGCTTTAGACATTTGCATAATAAATTTATCATTAGTAAATATAAATTTATCACAAGAACATAATGTTTGTTTTTTATGTCGCTTATTTGTATTATTTCTCAATATACCTTTTTATTTAAAAAAAATATATGGAAAAAGTCTGTAAATCTTCATTAACCCTCCGTCGGGCGCAGTCCCGTTACGCACACGTTCGGCGCAGTGTATCCGACAGCAACGGTGTTTTTAAGTATATCTTCAGGAG